TCTTGGGCTCGGAATGGCTTTCATATAAAGAAATGAAAGCAAAATTCTTGGAATACTTCACCGAAAAGAAGTACCAGAGTTTGATTGAGGCGTTGGAACGGCTGGTAATCCATCCCTACTCTAAAGCCGCCAAAGATTTTATAATGGAGTTCAGGAAAGAAGTGAAAGCCGTCTCCAAACAGATTCAAGTGCCCCCTCTTATGCTCGACCACAACGCCAGGCCTTATATGACCGGCAAAGGTATCACTCTTTTAATAATTTTTAAAACAAACTAATGTTTCAAATAATGTCCAAAAAGCAATGCGAAAGTATTGTATCGCAGAAGTGGTGGTTCGCGGGAACGGCACCGGAAAAGTGGACATCAATGGCAAAGACTTACTGTACTTTGAGTTTATGCAAGACAGGTATGTTTACATAGGTTTAGGGTTACCATGTATTCAACGATTGTACTAAATTAGTGGCACCTTTTGTTTGTGTCTGCATTCAGAGAGCAAGTGATGTCTCCGCTCGTGTTCTGTGGCCTACTGTTCAAAGTGGACATCGAATGCAAGACATATCACGAGGAAAAGACTAAAGAGTGGAGTAAAGACGCGCCTCCTTTGGGCTCATATCGGGGCCCAGAGAGGCAATGGCGAGAGTTGGGCACAACCGCACAGTCCGGTGCCATACGTCTGGCTCTGGCTCTCGCGCTCAGGAGTTTTGTCGACGAAAAGATTGTCGAAAGAATGAGATTAGGTTTGCTTTGAATTGCCGTTTGTATGTAATATAACTCTAATTTGTGAATTTGAAATCAACAGCCGGTTTATTGACAGCCGATATTAGACACCGCGAGCGCAAGAAGTGGGGACAGGAGGGCGCCCGTAGAAAGTATACCTGGAAAAAGAGATAATCACCACTTTGTAGATGTTATACATTTTGTAATCATTATAATAATTTAATTAAAAAGAGTTTTTAATTATTAAATGTGTAATTATTATACAACAGGATATTCATATTTTTAATTAGAAAATCTTTCGTTTTTAATNGTATACCTGGAAAAAGAGATAATCACCACTTTGTAGATGTTATACATTTTGTAATCATTATAATAATTTAATTAAAAAGAGTTTTTAATTATTAAATGTGTAATTATTATACAACAGGATATTCATATTTTTAATTAGAAAATCTTTCGTTTTTAATAAAAATTTTGTTCATTTAAATTCACATTGAATTTATAAAGCATTACATTTGACCAAATTATGTCTTAAAAAGTTATAATTACATTACTTAACATTTGAAGAAATGATTAGCAAATAAGCGAAAAAACTGTTGCAAAACAAGATGCGGACAATTGTTAGCGACTGTAGAGTACATGCCATTAGAGTGGGGACTGAAGCGCGAGTCAAAGCGCCTAACAATAGGGATAGCGATGAGAATCGCGAGACCATTGAATTGAATGACATTTGCAGTAATTGTTCGCAAATTGTGTCAACTCTTTGTGTCGTTAAGTATCGATCGGAAAGACCAACGAATACTTCCCAAGAGTTTTAACTGTGAGTCCACTGGAAGTGACTTTTGATCCGAACCGCGAAATGAAGAGAAGACCGACGAAAGAAGTGAAGTGCGAACCGACGGCCGACTGTCACACCTCTGACCCCAACGGCGGACACCATTCAAAGTACACCAACGAAGAGATCTCTTCGGCCAACACTTTGGTCTCGTTGATGGCCGCCGACAGCGGAGACCAGACAAACGGTGTGCTCTTCGCTGGCGTCAAAGACACGGACGCCCAGAATGAGGTGATCTGCGAGTCGACCTCCAAAAGCGATTCGTTGCCATCGATGGACTCAATCTCGAGCGCAGAACTCGTCGATGAGATCAAAGCGAAGCCAATCGACGGCAACCGAAAGGCCGGCGTTTCTCCGCCTAAATATCCAGTCGTCGGCCAAATTCAGGCGCCTGTCTATAGCGCGGGTCACTCTTATGGCTATTACCCGATGGACCCGTCCATGGGTTACGGCCAATACTACCCCATGTATCCCATGGCACCTAACTATGGCCCTCAAGTGGGCGCTCCTGTAATGCACCCGAACTACGCTCCGATGGCACCAATGGCTCCGCAGATGCACGGCATGAACCCCAACGACCGCCAGTGCCCGTACTGTATGGCCACAAACCAATCAATTCGGCCCAAAATGAACTGATCCGTCAAAACTATTCATTATTTTCTTGCATTTGATTTACTCTTTTATTTATTTAATTAATTTTGATATATTTGTCGTGTTTTAAAACAAATTTTCAACATTTTATTGATGTCTTGTTTTGTCGTAAACTAACTTTAAATTTTGTTACTTTTATTTTAATTATTGATACTTTTCTTCAGGAGATTTTATTTACTTAATTCACTCAGAGTTTTATTTATTTACTATTATTTACATTATTAGTATTATATTACAAAAACTGTATTACAATATATTTGCTTAAAGTCTTATTAAATTGATTTCAAACTAGAATTGATTGTAAATCAAAATTTCAGTTTTTAGTTAAAACATTTAAAACACTGAAAATTATATGATTTTATACTTGAAATTGAATTCTTGGTTCAGCTATACTTGAGTTCAATATTGAATTTGTTTTATACATTTCATAAGGAAAGCCATCATTAGTTTTGAAAAGATATGGCAGAGAAAAAGAGTATTGAAAATGAAATGAATGCTTCTTTGATGTCATTATAATTTAAAGTGAATTTTCTGTCCAAAAGAAAATCTAATTTCATATAAAGTTTTGTCTGACGTCTAACACAAAAATCAATTTCTCGGTGTTTTTGGGAAAAGAAAGTAAATGTTAGGAGTTATGGCTTTTTATGCTCGCATTTAAATTGCATTAAAATCGTATCCCATTATAGATTTTCAAAATGTATAATAAATTTTTTATACATCGCTGACGACTACTACAGGCATCACAAAGAAAAACAATTTTTACCGATAAAAGCACTTTAAAATCATATTTTAAAAATAAATTCTTTATTAAATTTGCATAAAATTCATTAATATATAAAAGTTACACACAATTTAACAAATTATCATTACAAGATTTTTCGTTATAAAATATGGTGAAAACATAGTTATTATTATTTAACCAATCATTTCAAACATATCCAGGAATTGCGTGAATTGTGTGAATATGTTTCGGTAGGGTTTGGGCAACTCCTGGGCCACCAAATGCATCAAACTTTGGATAAAGTGCTCGACTTTCTCGCGGATCAGAGCCTTATCGATGAACGGCGACAGAAGGTTCACGAATAGAGTGAAATGTTTCGGTAGGGTTTGGGCAACTCCTGGGCCACCAAATGCATCAAACTTTGGATAAAGTGCTCGACTTTCTCGCGGATCAGAGCCTTATCGATGAACGGCGACAGAAGGTTCACGAATAGAGTGACAATCGACTCGGGAATCGCTGTAATCCAGCCTTTGATGGTCTTTACGATGAGTGCAATTGGCTTTTCAGCACCGTTTCGATGCTTATTGTGATTGCCGGGCGTGTCGTCGATCTCGTTGTCGGCCATCGAGTACTCGTACTTTTTGCCCCCTTTGCCGAAGTCTTCACTCCTGACGACTGTGGCCAACAAAACGACCGCAAAAACGCACATAAAATAGCGATTCATTTCTAATCCGTCTCTTAACTTGTATTTTTAAAATGACGATCGTTTTCAACAAAATCTAATTAATTTAATTAATATTTCAAATGTGTTTCCAAACCACTAAATACTCAAATTTCAGAAAAGCAAATGAGTTTATAATTAAAATTAAAACTTTTAATAATTTTGCCAATAAAGTCATATTGAATTCACGACACAAATTCTCTCAAATAGATTTAACTAAAAAGTTTTTAATAAATAATTAACAAGATCTATTATAATTATTAATTATACATAAAATTATAAATTATTTTGTTGTTTATTTGGTAATTTTGAAATAGATTTTATTTTGCATTAAATTCAAATATTAAATGAAATTTTTTATTGAATTATAACTGGAATAGAAATTAATGAATCCATAATGTATTGGATTTCATTTTAGACAACATTAATATAAATGCAAACTTAATTTGCATTTGTTTGAAGAGTAAATCAAAATCGATCGATCGATACATACCTGTGCCCACACACACATTATACGGTTAAATAATTTATCATTTAAATGGTCAAAAAAATGCAAATCCAAATATGCATTAACATTAGAAATATATAAGAAAATAAATTAATGCAAAATTCAATTTTTTGAATAACAATTTTTAATAATTCATGAGAAACATTTCAGTTCTTATAATTATTTGTAATAAAAGAGATTTAATGATATATAGGAATGTCTTATTGTTTTTGATTTTGACAAATGTTTAACAAATAGAGTTGTATTTTCGTTAGATTTATATAAATATATATTAATCTAACTCTAAGTTAAGAGAAAAAGAAATTATTAATTCTTTATATCGTAATAAATATGTATTTTAAGACTGAAATATATATGAATAAAATTTAGGTATAAATTCAATGATAATTTTGTTTAATAAAAGTTATGTTTATATCGAATGAAAATTTATCAAAACATTAAATGTTTTGATCACAAAAACAATTACAATATTTATATAATTAAATAACGAGAGAAACGGTTATGTATTGAGAGAATAAATATATAAATTTCCTATTATTATATTATCTGTGAATTAATTATAAGTAATTATAGAAATGGCAAAAATTAAGGCACAAAATAATAATTTTATGAATTCAATAATGCATTTCGTTTGACATAAGAAATGCGGTAAATATATACTTGTAATACGACTTTCTTTCCCGTTATTATTAATACAGAATTGGATTTAAATACAGATTTTATTGTAAGAAATTAAAACTTGAAAAGAAAAATTAAAAGCATTGGTTTATCTGAAAAGCTATGATTAATGACAGGTATTTAAAGCATACGTTTAAATGGCAAACAATATTAGATTAACCGTAAAATGACTCAAATTATATGTAAATAAAATGTTATAATAAATGCTAACTTTGATCGGGAAATACAATACAATATATCAGTTAAAATAGTTTTTTGTTTAAAATAAAAAATATTTAAAATATTTTGGCGATTAATCCTTTGATTATATTAAAAAGTAAATCCATTATATTATATGTAGAGATCATTTGGATTTGTGTTAACAATTCGGACACAAATAAATATTCATTTGATTGAATCATTTGTTTTGAACTGATTTTACAAATAAAATTTCAATTTAAAATTTGTTAAAAGAAAACAATAAAATGGTTAACAAAAACCAATAGGAATGACAACAAGAAATTGTGTTATTTTTATACAAATTAGGAAACCTTTTGAAACTAAACTTCAAAATAACTATCAATTGTCATCGGATTGACTATTTGGTGACCGAGAGTTGCGGTTCGCCCGACGCCGGGCCAAGTCTGACGTCTTGACCGGATCTAAGCTGATGGACGTCGGCTTATTGATCGCCTCGAATACCAGTCCCATATTGGCCTTAATTACACTCAATTCCTGATGCGTTAGCGCTGTGTCTGGTAATTGGTTTCGGCATTTAATCCATTCGTGATTCAATACGTCGGCCGCTCTGTAGCGCTGTTTGGGGTCGATATGAAGCATACGCTCCACTAAATTCTTCATCGCATTCAACACACAATTAGTATTGCAAAACATATTCATAAATCGAGTGCAAAACTTACTTTCGCCGAATTGGAAACGTTAACCCAATTGCCGGACGAGAGATCAAACTTTCCTTCGCCGATACGGCACAGGATATCATTTGGCGTATCGTTGGGTCCGTTTGCGAATGGAGTGACACTACAAACACATAACAAAACAAACCAATTATAACATGCATTTATGGCCAACTGAGTCAACACATACCCGGCCAACATTGTGTACAGAAGGACACCCATCGACCAGATATCGCAGGCCTCGTCGTAGCCCTGTTTCTTAAGTACTTCGGGTGCGGCAAAGTTGGCGGTATAACACGGGGTCATCAGTAATCCGTTGTCGGCACGCATTTGTTTGGCAAAACCAAAATCACAGATACGTATAGATGAGGGGTTACCAGTGGTGTCCGCGTACAGAATGTTCGCCGGCTTTAAGTCGCGGTGGACTACCTGTGGACCACATTATAACAAATTACAACATAAATACCAGTAATTCGAGTAATAAACATAATATTGAGATAATTACTCCGTTTTCGTGTAAGAACTTAATGGTAGTGGCGATCACTTCCAACACAGCGCTCGCCTCGCGTTCGTTGAAATACTTTTGGTTAAGAATTTTGTCTAAAAGCTCTCC